CGTATGTCACGGAATGGCATCTGGGGTGGGCCCGCTGGCGGTGATGACATCGAAGCACCCGGCAAGACTAAACCCATTATTGACAACACTGTTGCTATCCTCACTTAGAAAATCTGGTAAAACTCTCACTGAACAGTCGCTATGCATTCTAAAGACTCCTCACAGAGTATCTTGGCTCCAACTCCGACCCGTACTTGGCAAATGCGCTCTCGCCTCGGACGTACGACACAGCCTCAGGGACAGCATTCATGATATCGGATGCTGTTACTCCTAACAAACTTCCATACCGTCACAAGAGATACTCGCTACACACCAGATGTGGCATGCGAACGCGCCACTGTAGGGTCTACTACTCACCATCCTCCCCTCCAAGGTTGATAGCCGCGATGTCTCCAGCAACTCCATGCACGAATACGGCCGCTGCCACAGCGTCACCAAGACTATCCACATCATGACCATACGCGGCATACCTGAGCATTACTACAGTCGACATCCTTCACATAGTGATGCTCTTACATAGCAGGGATGAGGCCACTGAGAACATCCCCACTTCCGGCCGTACCCATGCCACTATTCCCAGACAGGTTCATCCGCACCCGACCTGATCACCATCCCACTGGCAACCCTAATGTAAGGAGTGTCGCCCTACCTGAAGGCTCGCATACCATGGACGTCGCTCCCTTGACAACGACGACAGCATTCGTACTACGGGCCAACTCCCGTCCAACCTGGGAACATACTCGCATCACCAACACAAGCACGATCGCGGCACACCCACCTCCAGCAAACTCCGAGATCCGTTCGTGAGCTCTGCCATCGAGAGGCCAGTGAGACGGCTAAGCTCGGCCAAGTGAGGCGTGAGGACCACTGGGGACTAAGGCACAACACATACTACAAGCAAGGCATCAACAATGGACAATGATGCACAATGCTAAGTATGACAAACAACTCCCACCGACCAAGCTGTGAGAGCTATCAATGAATGTGGACATGCCACAGTGATGCGGGATGATACATAGATAATCCAATACTCACCAACTGCTTTCGATGACGCTCCTGCAAGAGCTGAGAAGCGGTGGAGAATATGTCAGTTGAATCGACTGGAGGTATGGAGATCGCTGTGATACCGTCACCGTCGATGACCATAGGCTTATCCACATCTGAGGATAACCACCG